TGCTAAGTTTTATTATTGCTAAAATAAAAAAAAACTGCTAACCATTATTTACACAAAGTTTAGTTTCTCCAAATAAAGGTGAGTCCTACCAGAGTATATCATGCCAGAACTTACATTTTTCATCACATACAATACCAGGGCCAAAGTATAAATTAGGCACAATTGTTAGATTATTAAGAATATATTCAATATAATCTACTAGCATTATTGAATATGCAGATTTGGTTGAAGCTGAATTTGATGAGATATACTGTCTAGAAATTAGAACTGTAAGACTCCAAATCTTGAGCAATGGAAGTCTATTTCTCTATTTGCGAAAACATCTTATATTTGCAATAACATGTTCAGGCTGAAAATCTGAATGTTTAAGAATTTTGACAAGGTCTTCATAGGCTGCTATAGAAATCATATGCTCTGTAATCTATAAAAAGAGTATAGTAGATGTGAAATTTGGAAAATACAGACTGTATTTTCTATTAAATTCTTCAAAAGATTGTGATTGGCTCTTAAATAGTTTGTATTTTTGGGTATTCTGCTTTGTATTATTATCTGAATTCATCAAATCATTATCATTATCTTGTAAATATTTTTCATAATCCTCCAAATTGTCCAAAGTTATATAATCATGTAAATATTCTGTCTTATTATTCTTCCAATCTATATTGTCAAGTAATTGCTCTTCCTGATTATTCTCCTAATTATGTAAAGAGTCTTCTTTATTAATAACCCAATCTATATCTAATTCATTTGATTCATTTGAGTATCGTTCTAAATTGCTTAAATCATTTGAATGTTCACTTGATTTTTCTGAATTGCTTAAATTTAAAAATTCATTTAATTTGTTTGCTGATAATTTATAAGTAATAGGCAAGAAACTTTTATAACTTTTGGCTAGCTTTGTACGAATACGAAGAAGAGGTAAGGGAGTGTAGATTTGTTTTATTCTATTATGTCTGCTGCTCATATTAAGGTCAATTTCTGTTTTTTTTTTAATTTAGTAATTGCAAGTAAATTCATTATATTCTGTATTATTAATTTTTAATTTTATAGTAATCCTTTTATTTTCTTTCTAGCGATATTTTTCTTTTGATCAATTTTATATACGGAAAGAAATGTCTTTATTACTTTGTTTAAAAAAAGATCTATTACTAATCATCATTATTCAATTTATATGTTCCTTATTACAAACTATATATATTTTCTGCATACTTTAAAATAAACTCTATATATATTATCTTTATGTTATACTTCAAGACAAGTATCATATGATGATTGTTTTTTTCTAATTATAAACTAATTACATACGTATAGTTTTCTTAAATTTCCAATGTATTATATATATTTTTATCAAAT